AGGGTCCCAGGTTTCTGCAGCTATATCTGTTCGATACCGAAAACGAGATAAAGAATAGATTCAGGGCTTTTGATGGTCCTAGAAAGAGGGATTTGGATTCTAATATTGTTCAGTTTCTGGTACAGTTTTTGGGGGTTAATAATGAGTACGTGCGGACCTTCAAAACCGCTAAACAGATGGCGGATGAAAGCAATTTACAGTCGTATGCAGTGCGACTGTTTAACAATGTTCATGACCGTAGGTATGATTTGTCGTCGCCTGGATCTTTGGGTTGTATAGTAACCGGTGATGACACAACGTGTACGACGTATGAAATTGTTATCTATTCTCATTCTGGTCGTCCTCAACGTATCAGTAAGCTGCATCCAAGCTATATGCCTTTACAATACCCACTTTTGTTTCCATATGGTGAGGAGGGTTGGTTGCCCCGTTTGAAGATGGGTAATCGGAGGGGTGTTAGCGCTAAAAATCTCACTGTAAATATGTATAATGCGTACCATATTCATGCCCGTCGGCACATATGGTCCCCTATTGTAAACGCTTCTCGCCTGTTCCAACAGTATTTGGTTGATGCATACACATGTATTGAAGAGGGACGGTTAGATTACATCATCAACCACCAGGAAAACCTTCGGTCCAATTATGTTAGTGGCCTCTACGATGCACTTTCAAAGGGGGACAGGGAGACACACGTTGTTGGCGAACGTGTCTTCTTGCCAGCGTCCTTCACGGGTGGTCCCTGGTTCATGTACAACCATTATCAAGATGCGCTTTCAATATGTAGGGTGTACGGGAATCCACAATACTTTATAACATTTACGTGTAACGTCAAGTGGCCAGAGATGTTCACAGTAGAGCAGATATTATTGCTAGAGTCTTCAACATCAAGGTTCATGCCTTTATCAACTTTCTTAAAGAGGACAAAACTTTTGGTGAGGTTGACGCATGTATGTCTTCATTTCCTTTATCTTTCACTTATGTTTTAAGTATCAACTTATGTTTATTTGTAGTCATATTTCTACTTTTTTACTATATTCCCTAATATTCAAACTCTTATGTTACCAGACTCCTACAAAACTTACATGACAGATGGTTTACTGATTTCAAAAAAATTATACATCCTTCCCAATATACCCCTGTATTAATGTTCAAAGCAGTTGCCCTGTTTTATTTCTAGCTTTTTTAATCATTTGCAACGAATACAATATTTCGAATATGCCCCTGTAATAATATTTGCTGCTGTCAACATATATATACATTCTGTTAATGCTTATGTAACCACAATATATACATAAACACTTTTATCTGATATACTCACATAAGACATTTATGACTTTGTTATTTTTTCATTTTTTTTTGTCTTATCTGATTAAAAAAAGTATATTATATTTATTATCAAATTATTATTGGCAACTGATGTTTTCCCAATGTCGCCCTGTGTTGATTACGTAATTGGCTAGACCACTTTTTTTTCCTTCTAAGACTTTGACTTTTTTTGTTTCCCATATCCCTTTACTATTACCAGCATCACTGAGAGGTGGAATATTTCCAATATGCCCCTGTACTAATACTTGCTATCAACAGATATGCCAATGCTAATATAACCACAATATACACATAAAAAACTGTTATCTGATATAATAATGCAACACATTTATGAATTTGTTATTTTTTCATAAACTGTTATCTGATATACTAATGTAAGACATTTATGAATTTGTTATTTTTTCATATCTTTTTTTTTTGTCTTATCTCATTAAAGAAATTTCCAGATGCATGTGTGGTTCGTTGTTTATTTGCTACTCACATGTTACACATCTTAGTCTTTAAGGGCATTTGAGTCTTTTCTTAGGTTTTGTTATAATTTTTTTTTCTGGATAACTATATTGTTAAGAATAGTCTTATAAAAACTGCTATTTCATTTACTGATGCAACATATCTATAAATTTGTTATTTGTTCAAAAAAAAAATTGTGTCCTCTAATTAAAGAAATCACAATAATTGATGCTCCACTCTTTTATGTCTCTAAATTTACATTCCTGTTGTATGTACTGTCACTGACTTCCTAAATAATACTTACATTGTTGATTATAGATTTGTACACCATTGAATTCCAGAAGAGAGGTCTTCCCCACTGTCACACTCTATTGTGGGTCAAAAGTTCGGACCGGATAAAAAACGCTGCTGATGTTGACACCTACATTACAGCCGAACTGCCAGATCCAATCACAGAGCCTGATTTGTACGAAACCATAACAACCTGTATGATCCACGGCCCGTGTGGACCACTTAACGAAAAAGCTTCGTGTATGAAAGATGGTAAATGTAGCAAACACTTCCCTAAACCCTTTCTTCAATCTACATTGTTCGACACAGAAGGATATGTACGGTAAAAACGTGGTTCATCCGCACACCATACAACCCAATATGGACAGCTTATAGACAACGGATATGTTGTCCCCTACAACAAAAGGCTTTGCTCACGGTTCCGAGCACACATCAATGTAGAATACTGCGGGTGGAACATGATGATTAAGTACCTATTTAAATACATTTCCAAGGGAGCTGACTGTGTCAGATACGTTATCCAAAAAGCAGAAGCACCCAACGAATCGTCTGCTGACTCGGCTACAGTTGGACATACCACTTCAGAAAAAGAAGAAATTCGTCCAGTAGATGAGGTCAAGAACTTTCTGGACGGCCGGTACATATGCCCGCACGAGGCAGCATGGCGCATTTTAAACTTCCATATACACCATCGCCACCTGCCCGTTCAGATTCTATCTGTACACGAAGAAAACATGCAGCAACTAATTTTCAAAGGTGACAGCACGATACCCGAGGTTCTGTCAAATCCTGTCAGCAGCATAACTACCCTTCTAGGATGGTTTAACAACAATGCAAAAGACCTAAAAGGCCGTGATCTCACATACCTAGAGTATCCAAAATCTTACAAATGGGACAATTCATATAAATCATGGAGTCCCAAGAGTTGATGAGTCCTCAAAAATGGTTGGCAGGCTTGTATTCGTACATCCTTCCTCCGGCGAATTATTTTACCTACGGATGCTACTCTGTCATCAAAAAGGATGTACATCTTTTCAGGACTTACGTACTGTGTCTGGTACAGTTTACCCAACTTTTAGAGCTGCTTGCAATGCCCTTCGACTGATTGGTGATGATATCGAATGGCTAACCGCTTTCACCAAAGCATCCGTCTGGGCAAGTTCACCACAATTACGATCCCTTTTATGTCACTTGCTGCTTTTCTGTGAAGTCAGCAACCCGCTTTTACTATGGGAAACCGCACGTGACAAGATGAAAGACGATTACTTACATACACTGAAACAACAAATACCAGATAAAGATATTGCTGCCACTGCTGACATAATCCAGCAACAACTACTTCATGATTTGGAACACACCCTCCGTTCCTCCGTTCCATCTAAATCAATGGCGGATTTTGATCTTCCAATGCCATCAGGAAATGTTATTGACATTTTGCAAAACCGGCTGCTACTTGAAGAAATGAGCTATGACAAGGAGTCTCTACGGAAGCAACATGCAGAACTACTACCACAACTAAATGGTGACCAGCTGTCAGTCTACAAAACAGTTGTTACATCCATACAAAAACAACAAACAAGTGCTTATGTTTGTTTACGGACATGGTGGTACTGGGAAAACATTTCTATGGACCACAATTCTATCCTATTTTAGATCTATAGGAAAAATTGTTCTGGCTGTTGCTGCGTCAGGAATAGCTTCGCTATTGTTACCTTCTGGAACAACAGCACACTCGAGGTTCAAGATACCTATTGACTTAACCGAAAAAAAATCATGTGATATAAAAAAGAGAACATTACTCGGTGATCTTATACAGCGTACATCGCTCATCATTTGGGATGAAGCGCCAATGAGTGACAGAAGGTGCTTTGAATTTCTAGACCGTTCCCTTCGAGATGTCTTGGACCGTGATGAGCAGCCATTTGGAGGCATATCCGTTGTTCTTGGTGGTGACTTCCGCCAAACTCTTCCCGTCCTGCCCAAAGAGTACCCGTTCAGAAATTATTGCCCTCACTCTGCCAAGTTCCTACCTGTGGCCATATTTCAACCTTCGCATTTTACGTAAGAACATGAGACTGGATTCCTCTGAAACAGCCGACCACAGTCTACTGTCTACATCAGCTTTTGCAACATGGTTGCTGAATATTGGAGACGGAATCATAGGTGTACCCGACAAAGATGACCCACGAGACTCAAGTTCAATACGAATTCCAGCTTCACTCTTAATATCACCTGGCCCGAACTCTCTACAAACCCTGATAGATTTCGTTTACGGTGACGATATGCTTCATGATCCAACTGCCATACACCTTTCTGTAAGGGCAATTGTCTCTCCTACAAATGATTTGGCCGATGAAATAAATACTCGCATTTTAAAAATGATCAACACAACTGGCAGGACATACAATAGTACAGACATGATCCAGCCAAATGGAAAGCACACATCTGATTTGGAGGGCCTCTATCCAATCGAATATCTAAACCAACTAAACTTTGCGGGAATGCCACCACACGAGCTTAAACTTAAAATAAAGTGTCCTATAATGTTGTTAAGAAACATCAATCAGAGAGAAGGTTTATGTAACGGTACCCGCCTAATTGTGTCCCAATTGTTACCAAACGTCATCGAAGCAACGATAATAACTGGCACTTGCATTGGAAAACGTGTATATATATACCACGCATAAAATTCATTCATAAGTCATCAGATATGCCATTCACCTTTTCACGAAAACAGTTCCCAGTCAAAGTTTGCTATGCCATGACCATCAACAAAAGTCAGGGACAATCACTATGCAGAATTGGCATCTATTTATCGCAGCCCGTTTTCACGCACGTACAACTTTACGTAGCTCTATCCCGAGCGACGTCACCAAACTCCATAAAAATACTGATAAATAATACCGACCCAATGATATACAATGAAACAAAAAATGTCGTCTTTAAAGATCTACTGCAGAAAGTTACATCAATTGAGGTCTACAGTATCACCGACAAACATTGTTTACATATTCTCACAATTACTAACAACTGTTTTCTAAAAAATTAATAGTATCACTAATTTTTTTTAGTTCATGTCTACACCAAGTTTTAGATGTTGTCGGAATCTACCTACAATTTTAATCACACACTAAACCGAATACAGTACTCATTTCCACATTTTTATTGTCATTAGACAATACAGGCAACTGATGACTACCATATCGTAACTGAAGATTGATGGTATCGGAGGCCCCATACAGGTTAGAATATTACACAAATGGAGACATGATGTCCGACGATACGAGACTTGGTACCTAGCTGTCGACAGATTTGTAAGTTGTTACCAAACCGCATCCAAACAAATTACAAATAACCACCAACCTTCACCTACTTAATGTTATAACAATATGTTTATACAGGGGGATGCTATACAAATTCTTGGCCAACGGACCAGCCAGAGCTACATTGAGTCCGTTCTCAATGTTTCACAATGCTACACCATATCGGATTACAGTTGCCCTCACTTGGATAAGTATCAAAAATTCCTTGAAAATGACTTCTACATAGATGTTGGCCTGACCTCTGTCATAAAACCACTTGCGGAAACAATAAGCATACCCAAAACCTGGTTTCGCTTCGTCTCAAAATCACAGCTGATAGAACTAGGAGAAAGTCCGCCGTATTATCCAGGTACCGATCTTACCAGCTCATTCGATTCTATATCCATTGCTTACACAATTACATTTACTTCTATCCAGACTATATTGGCGTACTATCTAAATTCAGGGATTGCACCAAAGCAACTGGAGAATCATTTGTGTTACTCATCCTAACTGACGAAAGGTATACATCGCATCCAACCAACTACAATCGTCCATTTCCTCATACCCATCTAATACCAAAAACAATTTTTAATTTGATAGTGGTAGCGAACTCGCAATCAATCTATGGAAAGAATGTATAACTAATCCAGAAAAATTCAACCGTTACTGGTTTCATCCGGCACCCACAACGACAGTTGTTGCAGCCACGAACCTAAAACCCTCAATATCTAATGGTATTTTTCATATACAAACTCATATATATATACCTTCCATACCTATGACAGCTTGTCTACTACTAATTTTAATCTCCAACTTTCTGTTTAACAGGAGCACTACGCCATGGATCATCACATGCTACACATATCTATGTCAACCCGCAAATACCGGAAACGACGGCCCTGATAAACCTGTAAGCCATACAAATCAGAAAACCCAAAATATTTCGTACAAATTACACCTCATACTAATAACAACATACCATCAGCTTTGCAAGACCTTCAAGACCAGTGGCAACACTATCAGGAACACCCTCCACCCTATATGACATCAAAACAAAAAATAGATCTGATCTCTTGGTAATGTCATACTAACACTGCCTCCATTTACAAATACGTTTCATTTTACACATTGACAACAGATATCTTCACATATACAGGATAAAACATTCACAGTACAGGCCTCAATCAAAGAATTTCTCTTTCAAAACAGTTGGTACCAAACCACATGTCCGAGCTGCAAAGATCCTATCTTTAAAAGGGGTGAACAGTGGTACTGCAGTGCTCACGCACTGATAGAAAAGCCAACTTACACGTAAGCATGTTTCCACATAAAGAAAATATAATCCTTCTGTAATCGTGATACTTATAAACAATTTCTGTCCATAGATACAAATTTACAACCACCATCACCGATTCTACAGACACTATATCTGCAATTATATCTGAAACATCATGTCGGAAGCTGCTAAACTCACCACTGGAAAAGTTTATATCTGACAATCCATTGGCTGACAGAAAGAACCTACCCTCAATCATCACCAACCACAAAGGACACACAAAAAGAATGTCGATCCAAATGCTTAGGACATCCACTCCTGACAATGTCCGCTTCATGATAATAGATATCGAAGGATCTACAACCGTGCCCGAAACGTCAGTTCCAACAACTCCAGCTCTGCCTCGAATAACAAGAATGCGACCAAACAACAACACACCGGACTCATCGACAGCCATTCCACAGGCCTCACGCACTCTGTCCTACGAACCTACAGGTATGTTCATATACAAGAAACTTCAAACTAAAAAAAATCCCACAAAACATACTAACGATTTTCACCTCCTATCTAACAGGACCGACGTCAACAAAAAATCCAAAGCGTACCTACAAAGAATGACCATCACGGACAACCAAGCAAAACCCGTCTTTTGTCTGTACCAATGTCTCTATCCTTTGTAATATAAACAAACCATCGTGTCCTCTTAGTGCTGTAAATCTGCTTTTGCCGCCACTTTCCCATCTAACACCGTTGCTAATGTATGCAGAATGTATGTAGTCTAATATGATGTAATCACCTACTTATAAATGTATCCCTTTTGATCCATATTCTTTCGCACAATACATATCTTTATCTGCATAAAAAAATTAAAAGAATCAACGAAACCACCCAACAACCAAATCTGAAGCAACTGCCCCATGCGGAGGAGCATGGGCTTCACATCTAGTTTTAGATTATATTTGGTTCACAGGAATTATTGAAAGTGGAATCCATGTAAAATGACATAATTACTATTTTTATCTGTTTTGCTTAATTTTAATTTATTTTCTAACTTATATGTAAAGATATATTATATAAATTATAGAAATAGTAAAATCACGGCAGTGGCGACAGTAGCGATGGTTGTGATAGTTGTGGCGGTGGCAACGGTGGTAGTGACATTGACGGCAAAGGTAGTGGTGGTGGTACCTGCAGTGGTGGTGGCGGTGATGGTTGTGGAGGAGGTGGTGGCGGCGATAATGGTAGTAGTGGCGGCGGTAGTGGTGATCATATTTTCTTTTCCCTCATCTCTCCACGACTCCGCCATGAAAAAAAAAAAAAAAAACTCCGAGTAGTCATATTTTCCAAACAGTTGATTATAATTTACGACATTTTAAGATAGAATAATTTTTTAGGCTTCCTAAAGCTGATTTTAATGAAGTATGTTGATGCAATTACTTTTTTTTTTTTTTTTTTTGAACTGCAGAAGTAGCAACGTATTTTGAAAGACGGATGGAAGTATGCTAACTCCATAAATCTCTTGTCTCTCTCACTCTGTATATGCATACAGATACAGATACAGATGCAATTACTTATTCCATCATTCCCACTTATGTGTTGATGATGACAAAGAAATCTTAATTTATTTTGTGATCTAACTATTTTACTTAATATATTGTAAGTGCTCATTGATCTTAAATGATATAAATATAAACAAGACCCACACGTCCAAATGATCAAAGACCATTAGTGCTACAATCGATAATGTCTATGTATGCCTCGGAAAATATGATATAAGAGTATCAAAGTGGCAACTTGGATAACTAAGAAATCGTTTAAGTGAAGGATCAATGTTACAAGATTCAAATAAAGAATATTATCCTGAATGCTCCAAATAAGACTAATTTTTTATCTTGTTCATTTAAGTAGAGATAGCCTTATAATAAAAGTCCATTATTAGACAATCATTTCAGCTCAACAAATAACACATGACTGGACCATGGACTTCGAGATACACATCGGACCTTAAATTAGGCCCAAAATATGAATACCCAAAGTTTGACTTGCGAGTTTTATAAAATCCGCATGCCAATCAACATTGTGTCCCCAATTGATTCTCTATAGTGCTTTTCAGATATGGTCAGAGACAACAAAAAGTGTTTGTGAGCTTAGAAAACGAAACTTTGAAACAAACCTCTAAACTTTGAAACAAACCTCTCGTTACTTAAGCTTGATCTTAATATTGTTGGCGCCATTCAAACTATCTTGAAAACGAAAGTGTTGCTTTGTACCTTGAGAGAAAGAGAGAGATCCACATTCAACATTCAAAACATGTATTTAATTGTGAAATAATCTACAATTCTGACAAGGCAAATGTAGTAATCGTTGTTTTGAGTCACAAAGAGTATGAAAAACCAATCCCAACAAGATCAACACAAATTTCATTGGTATCAAGTCTCATAGAATGGATTAAGGAAGAGAAAACACGAAATGGGCAAGAAAGATGCAAAGGAACATGGTGTTTAAATAGATATGTTAATGATAGTTTTTAGAAACTGAATTGGTGGAAACTGGAAATTAATTCTAGATCCCATAAGTCCAATAGTTACCCATTAGGTTGCACAAAGATATACAAGAGACCTTAGACAAAGCTATTAATACACGACAATGATGGTAAAAGGTGTGAAATCGGTTGCTAAGTGTACAACTTGCGTCAAAGTAGAAGTCGAACTTCAACTTCCTTATAATCCCCTTTAACCTTGGCAAATTCCTGTTGTTAAATGGGATGCTATTAGACCATCCAGGATACTCAACACTAACTACTAATATGGTGGGTGTCTCTTCATCACCACACACAACTACTAAAAGGTTGATATAAACACTACTATATCACTCTTATTTTTGATTATTTAAATAAAACATATTTTTTTAATTACTTAAAATGTAGACATAAAAAGAGAAAGAAAATAATTAACTACGATAGTTCGTGCTCTCCACCATAAATGACCACGACTTATAATGGAATTCATTACAAAACTTCCAAACACGACTAAATGAGGTCACCCATAATACCCACCACTAACCATTATAGTGGTGGGGACATCATCACCACCAACTACCACTAAACCTATGAAATACCCACAACCATCACTCGACTCCAAATTATTTATTATTTTTTTTAATTCAAAATTACAATTTTAAAATACAATAAAAACATAGAAATTTTTTTAACTAGTTTTTCATTCAATAAAAACATAACATCAAGAAAAAAAACTACATTACCTAAAAAAACTATAATAAAAAAACAAACATGAAAATTCAAAACATGAAAAAAAAAAGAAAAAAAAAAACTAAACTTCATTTATGTTTAGTTGGTACAAATGTTCCGCCACATCTTCTCGAAGATTGAAACACGTTTCACTGTTATGAATTTCAACAACTTGTTCTAAAAATTCAGTCGTTCTAGGTACAAACTCTTCAATCGGGATGACTACGTCGTTCGGATCATACGCTCAAATCGCTCGACCTTCATCTTCAATAATAATATTATGCATTATAATATATGTTTCGACCATTCGTTTAATTCTATCTGTATCCCGGAATTGTGTAGCGTATTTCACTACATGTCATGTTTGCTTGAGGACTCTAAATGTCCTCTCAATATCCTTTCTCGATGATTCCTGACTTTTTGTGAACAACTTTGCCTTTTTACTTCGAGGAACCGAGTATGCCTTCACAAATGTAAAATAATCAGCGTATATTCCATCACAAAAGTAGTAACTGTATTTATATGAATGCCCGTTCACCGTGAACGACATATCAGGTGTTTTGCCGGTCCAAAGATCGTTGAAAAGAGGAGACTAACCAAGAACATTAATGTCATTGTTAGACCCTGCAACTCCAAAGCCATATCCACAAATCATGAGATGCAACAACTTCCAAGTATTATATTTGGCTCGAGTGAATTGACCGCGCCATGCATTTTGACATTTTTCCCAAGCGACATGCGTACAATCTAGACTACCAAGCATACCCGAAAATCCATGTCTCTCTTCATGCACCAAATATAATCTCAAAATCATGTGAAGTAGGTTTACACAAATATTCTTTGTGAAAAAACTTAAGCACACATGCACAAAACCAATCCACACATCAATTGCGATCATTTCGTACACTTTCAAGTACTCGTTGGATGCATCAAAGGCTATACCGTATCCCAAATATCTAAGCGCAACCGCACATTTTTGTATACTATTAAAACTCATTCTTCATCTAGTATCGGGTTTTTGTTTAAAAAAATCATCATGGGCCTCTATAAAATTACTAATACGTAAAAATATAGCTTTATTAAGACGGAAACGATGTTCAAACGCGTCTTCATTGTAAGACAATTATCGACAAAGGAATCACGTACCAATAAGTCGTGTTCCGTTTGGCGATCTCAATTGACGACCGCTCTTGAATGCAAAATATTTGAATTTTCTTCATTGTGAATGTGTTGCGCAACATTGAAGAACGTCGAGATGAATTCTCCATCATCATCCGAATCGAAATTCTTAAAGAAATCCATAAATATGTTTTTTAAAGATAGTGTAAAAGAGAATGGTTTGAATGTATAAAGGTTATAAAATTGTTGTGATTATATAGGTAATGTTTATATATTAACAAAAATTGTTTAATTTTTTGACCGTTGAACGGTCCAAAATGAAGAACTAATCTGATTCGTTGTCCTCTTTCTTCGTCTGCATCACGAGCCAAAACGACCACGACTGGTTGGGGTCGTGTGCAACTGTGCATGGACCACTATCATGGCCACGTCAACTACGAACCGGCTCGTGGCCGGTGTCACAGATGGTGACATGATGTTATTTTGTCTTGTTGTCGATCAATTAAGTGAAGTTGTAATTTTTTGGCAATTAATTAACGAGGGTGCGCCACTAAAAAGGCTTGCTAATTTATGTCATGAAAGTGTGAAACGACGATGTTTCTAAAGAATGAAAGAACCAACCACTTCTAAAAATCATCGTTACAAAAAAAAAATAATAATAATAATAAATATCTTCAAAACTAATATATTTTAAAGTTATATCAAAGAGAAAGCAGCCACTTTTGAAAAACGTAGGCAGGCAATTCATCAAGTTCTAAATTTATTATTATAAAACATTTGAAATTACGTTTTACATTTTAATATAGATTTTGACTTTTTATTAATTAAAATGTTAGAATATTAATGGCTTCCATAAATATATAAAGTTAAACTATAGCATACTTTCACCTATATGAGATTTGTTTTTTTATTAATGGATGGTGACTTGGTGGGTATAATTCATAAGTGATTAGTTATCCTTATCAACTTTTCCATAATATCATTTCTTATTTGTCTCATTGTATGAACTTCTTCCATATAAAATAATTCTTTCAATATATCTTATAAAAAAAAATTATTTATTTATTATTATAGACATTGCATGTATTCATAAAAACATCTCCATCAAGAGACCATTTATGAATAATTTTTAAAAAATTGTATTTATGATATCTATTAACAACAAGTTTATTTTAATTAATTTTATATAATTTAAAATATATTCTAGAAGTGGTGGCGTATGTTTGGATATGGGCGGCTTTTTTGACCCAAT